GCCGGCCGGGCGGAGGGACCGGCAGAGTCATGATTCAGCACTTTCTATTTATAACCGCCCGGGGGGCGGCCCGGCGTGTTGCTTAATTAAACATTCGCGGCTGATACGAGCGGAGTTTCCGCGTGGAGACGGCCCGGGTGCGAGTAAAGCCTCTCTGTGGCATTCCAGCCCGGTCCCGGGAAGTCGGTGTGTGGGAAAAGTGTAAAAACCAGCATTAATGTTCTGAGGGAAATCCTCTTGCTGCCCTACAGCCAGGGCTGAAGGAATGAGCCCGAGTATTTCCCACAGCGAGGGGACATCCCCACACTGAGGGGGCACCCCCTCAAACCCCCCTCAGGGGCTTGCCCCAGCCCAAGTCTCTTGTCCAAGGGTGAATTTTTGCTATGCTTCCTCACAGAAGTTTTCCCTGCTTTCCACAGGTCCTGGACCAGGTGCCAACAGCATTGTCCTGCTCTCTTCTCTTTGAGCTGCTGGGCGCTGGTGACCCTGGTAATGAGGCACCAGAGTTCATGGCCCATTGAGAAGCTGAGGTTGAAATTATGACATTTCAATTTGCAAAATTAAGCAAGTACTCACTAGAAAGCATTGGGATTCAGGCTGCCCATACACCCTTGAGCCTTTTGACCCAACAGAGCAACTCACGGGAATAATAGTAGAGTTATCCGTGATTTTCATTGGTACCAAAGGAGAGTAACACCTGCAGTTTGCCACTGAGTTTCAGACAAATGCCGATGGAAGTACCACCATCACTGCATACCCACATTCTTTGTATATCAAAGGCTCTAGGTACTGGAAAAATTTGCTTTGAGGCAAAATCTTAACTACAAAATCTTGAAGCAAAAGCCTTAACTCTTGCTCTCACTAGCACAATACTGTTGTTAGAGACAAGGTGAACCCCGGGTTTTATTAACACTGCCACTTCACTTCAAATGAGGTTCTGCTTTGTAGCATAGCAGCAGAGACACCCAACCCTGAGAGAGGGAGACAAACCCCACTTTGGAAAAGACACTAAATGATTCAGCCAGCCCAAGACTAAAGTTAATTGACAGCTCTCTCCCCAACACCACAAATTTGAGCCAATTAGTCACTACGCCACATCTGTGAAATGGGTTTAACTTAACTCTTCTCCTTTTGCATAGGAAGAAGGCAGAAAGGTCAGGGGACTGGCCACAGAGAGCACCCCGAGCTGAGCCTAGAAAGCAGAATTCATGTTTCCCACGCCTACGTATCAACAACTAGACTTGGCTTGCCTACACCAGAAAATAGACTGGCATAGCTGGAGCTGGGTAATTATACCGTAACAGTTTATGCCGGAATAACTCTCCTTGCGGACACTCTCCTCCAGATGGAAAGTGACTTCCCAAAAGCTGTCCAAATGAATTCACTCAACAGCACACACTTGGTGTTTTGTCTTTCCCCCCACCCCTCCTTCCCCTCTTCATTTTGGGGGGTAAGAATTCCTGAGATGTGGGTCTCGGCAGCAATTTGTAGCCTTCGATCACTTTTACAGACCATTAAAAGTGGGGACAAATGCAAAACATGTCATTGAAACGCTACAAGTCTTGTTGTCAAGATTTTTATGGTGCTTTTCATCAAAATGTTGAAAACTGAAAGCTTCCAGCTGGCTCTCCATACAGGTAATAACTTAATAGCTAACAGCTTTTCTCCCAAAGCTGCTGGAACCTGCTTGAGCCATGGAAGCTGATGGGAAAAGCCAGACCCATCCTCTACAGTAAATATTTTCTGATTTTTTTAAATCAAGCTGCTCTGCAAGCTTTTGAAACCAAATGAAGCTGTGAAAGCAAGGAGGAGTGACCAAGGGAAAAGTACAGGGAATAAAGTGGCAGGACTTGGCTTTGTAAATCAGCTTGCCAACTCCAAAGGCTGCAGAGATGGGCACATCCTCACTACAGCAACTCTGGGCTGAATCACTGTTTCAAGGCAGAACTTGGCAGAACTTGGGCTGTAGCAAGAGCTCCACAGTGATTTGCATTGCCCAGCTCAGCAGAGCTGCTCTGGTGATCTTGAGGGCCAAGTGATGGCTTGGGGACCAAGAGAGCCGGATTCACATCCATCAATGACCAGAGGGCCTCTGCATGATTTTGGCCAAGCCATGATTGCCCTGCATTTCAGTTCTGCATTTCTGAAACAGAGCTATTAAAGCAATGAGAGCTTTTCTTCTGCCAAGCAGTGTCCCAAGAGCAGTTCTCAGCTTTGCCACATTACAGAGGTCCCTCTGGCACACCTTCCTGGAGCTCCTGGGCTTTCCATTGCCATCCCCAGGAGCTCTGCCTGCCCTGGGATGGTGTCCTGCCACACAAGTCCAGCTGTCCCCAGGATCACAGGCTGTGCCAGCAACCACCTGCTCAAGAGCTGTGATGTCCTCCTTGGCACTTGCTCAGTCTCCCTGAGCCTTGGTTCCCCTCCTGTGTGCTGCAGATAACAGAGCTCCCTGGTCTCACAGGAGGGTTTAATTTCTCATTATTTGACAGCAATGCGCTTTGATAGGTTTGATGGGCTCAGCCTCTTTCCAGCTAAATATTTGAACATTTCACCCATATATGTGTGTGTGTGTATGCACATGCATGTGTGAGAATTATTATTCAAAACCTCCATCATGCTTTAAATGTAAATTCTGGTTTAAAGTGTCTAATTTCCCTTTTTTATATGCCCGTATAAGGGCAAGGTGCTCTAGGAATTCACTCCCAAAACCTTCTATATGTAAATAGTAGCTCAGCACAGTGTAAGCCCAGACTTAGGTACACTTAGCAAATTAAAGGAGGCTGATGTGGCACAGTGAGCAGCAGACCCCTGCATCAGCTCTCTGCTGTTGGACTGAGCTCTCTTCCCTTCCCACAGAAGGGGCACTTTGAAGCAAACTGGATCCAGTCCCAATATACTTTG